TCTATGTTTGCGATTAAAGCAAATTTTTGTATGAATTTGATGGCTTTGATACTATGTGCATGAGCTCACCAACCCCACAAAAATTGTTTTAATTGCAATAAAAACAATGGTTCAAGCTGTTTATTTTGTTTGATATTCCTGTGATATTAAATATTAGGGAAAGACTTAACAATAGAGTGAAATTAAAAGGATGAAATCATATTTTGAAACTAGAACAGTGGTGCTGGACCAATATCGCACTTCTGTTAAATCTGCAAAATCAGCAGGTTGGGATTGGATTTGAGATTTAATACTTTGTTTCTGCAAGCAAAAATTTTTTGGATGTTATAAATTCATCCCAGAGTACATTAAGGCTGTTACAACACAAAAGGAAACTGGTAGGAAGGAAAATAAGACTTGCATTTCTTTCACAGTTTTCATCACCACAGATCATCCCAAAGTATTTTACAGCCAGTGAATCACATCTGCAGTGCAATCACTGTTGTGGTCCAGGAAACACAGCAGTCAATTTGTGCACATCAAGCTCCCACAGCAACAATGACCAGACAATCCACGTTTGGGCTGACAAGCGACAAGTAACATTCACACCTTTCCAATGTCAGGCAATGATCATCTCCAACAAGGGAGAATCTAACTATTGCCCCTCGATATTCAACATTGTTACCAATAACAACAATGTGGAAATTACCATTGTCCAGAAACTGAACTGGACTAGCCATAGTATTTATGGCTAAATAAACAGGTCAGAGGATAGGAATCCTGCAGCAAATAACTCATTTTCAGATTTCTCAGAGTCAACCATTACAAGGCACACGTGATGGAATACACCCCATTTGGCTGGATGAGTGTACCTCTAACAACAAACACGAAGCTTGTCATATCAAGGACAAAGCAGTCCACTTCACTGGCATCGCATGGAGAAAAACTCACTTTCTGCACCACCAATACTCATTAGGAGCAGTGTGTACCCTGTACAAGATGCACTGCAGAAATTCACCAAAGATCCTTAGACAGCACCTTCCAAGCCCTTGACCACTATACCATCTAAAAGGACAAGGGCAGCAGATACATGGAAATATTACCACCTGCATGTTCCCTATGTTGCTACTCATCATCTGACTTGAAAACATATTGCCATTTCCTCAGCGTCACTGGGTCAATATCTCAGAACTCTTGTCCTCATGGCATTTTGGGTATCTTGACACCAATTAGACTGCAGCAGTTCAAGAAGTTAGCTCACGACCAACTTCCCGAAGGAAAGTGCAGATTGGGACTGAATGAATGAGATGCCCTCTCTCATATGAGGTGTCAAACAGGTAGGTGTAAAGGATTGTAAAGTCACTGTTTGAAGATGAATATGAAAATCATTCCCAATGGCCTGAACAATACTTGCTCTTCAATCAACTTCTCTGCAGCAGATATTTTTTATTTATCCATGGGATGTAGGAAAGAAAAGCCCGAACACTGATGCCCACATCCCATGGATGAATAAAAAAAATCTGCTGCAGAGAAATTGGCTGAAGAGCAAGTATTGTTCAGGCCATTGGGAATGATTTTCATGTTCATCTTACAAATGGTGCCTTTACAATCCTTTACAATCACTGATTTTGCATCTCATGTGAAATGGGACATCTCATTCACTCAATACTATCCTTTTTTTAAAGCTCAAGTCCTGGAATAGGACTTGAATTTGCAACCTTCTGACTCAGAGGTGAGTGGAACTGAGTGAGCCACAGTTGAATGAAATTTATTTTTGTTTTCATGTGTGGGTAAATTTTCACCCTTCATAGTACAGGACTGAAAATCGTGCCCCATAAATGAGACATGTATCTAATGCTTGGATGTTCTGTGTTCACTGATATGCAATGTAGAAAAATTTAACCCAGGTTGTAAACAGAATGCTCAGAATAAACAGAAAAATTGGCAATTACTCCTTTGTTCAAGCTGCCAAATCTAGCAAAGTCTGGCAGAGAACAGAATTGAAGTGGTGCACCAGCTCAACAATACATTAATTTTCTAACCCGCTTGTCAAATCAATTAAATAAAAAAGCCTTCAACATGGAAGCTTAGAGAAAAACCTGTCAATCTCGATATTCTGGTGTGTCATGGGGTCACCAATAGTTTGGTGTAGCAAAACATTCAGCCACCATGTCTGTTGCAGCATAGCCTCAACTGATTCAGCTAATTAGAATACTAATTGAGAGCATATAGGGGTGGAAAATACATGGGCAGAAAGAAGAAAAATTTTGAAAATGCCCTGGACAGTCACAAACCTTGTTCGAATACCCAAAGAGGAACTGTACAGTTCTAACAGTGGGCCATGGTGGTGCACTGGACTGAGTCTGTCCACTTTCCAAAGACTTGGAGCATAGGTCTCAGCTACTTACATTATCAAGGACAATGAATGAGCACTGAAAGGTATTTGATAAGGTGCCATGTCAAAGATTGCTACACAAAATATAGGAGGTCATGGTATAGGGGTTAAGATATCAGCATGAATAAATGACAGGTTAACAGGAGCAGACAGTACGAATACATGAGATTCTTTCAAGTTGGCAAGATGTAACCAGTGGACTGCGACAGGGATCATTGCTTGGGCTACACCTACTTATAATCTGTGTTAATTATTTGGTTGAAGGGGCCAAATGCATGGTCGCTATCTTTGCTAATGACACCAATGACTGGCAGGCAAGTATATTGTCAAAAGGAGGTAGAGAGCATGCAGAAATAGAGAAGGAATTTTCATGAACTGGTTTATTGGCATTCTAACAGAAATTCCAGAATTCATGTCCAGCTTCCGAAGGACTATTTAATCATAATTGTTGCTTTTACAATTGCTGCTATTTTGTAAATCTCCTTCTTAATTGTCATTCAAAATCCTTTTGATAGCATCAATAAAACCTATTATGCATTATCTTGAAGCAATGTCTCTTTGGCTTATGTGTACATCTCAGTTTTACTTATTATCGAGCGCTGTTGGCAATGTTTTATAACGGCCATCATTTTATAATGACAGAATACATGGAGCTCCAGAAAACCTTTGTAACACAACCAGTGTGTGGTGTGATAAAATCATTTTTTATAATTAAATGAGACTATTCAACCACTGTGCCAGTGATAACCTTTGGTTGAAGCAATTCAGCCCTGCCCTCTTTTTCTGCTTCAAATATTTATCAATTACTGACTTATTGATGTAGGTTTGATCTTTTTTCTGTGGATTAATTACCTGCCCTCTGATGAGACAATGGTACGGAAGCAAATGGCTGTAACATCTAGAGATCAAGAGGAAAAACTAAGTGCTGACGTTCCTGCGTGCTGGAAGTGACCATGTGCAGGAGTCAGATGGAGACCCGATCATGCTCAAATGTTATGCCTGCCACAATGGAAGACAGGAATTTATTATAAAACAGGAACAAAGTGTGGTCCTGAAGTAGCATCACCGGTCTTGAAATGTTAACTCTGCGTTCTCTTGACAGATACTACCAGATGAGCTGATTTTCTCCTGCAATTTCTGTTTTGTTTCAGATTCCCAGCATTCATAGGTCCTGTTTTATTCAAGGTGCATTTAGTTCACCTTCTATTATTCTGGTTCTTTCTCAACAATGGAATGGTTGACTAATCGCAGCAAGCAATTCCTACAAATTACTCAACAATAGACCCAAAAATAATACTAGGAATCCCAGTGATGGAGAGTTTTGGGAAGGAGCCTCAAGTTCCACATCGAAGACCTGGGGGTGGACTTTCATTTCACAGTGGAGGTGAGAATTGGGATATATGTGTTGAACTTAGCATATTTTTGCTGGAGAGACGATTTATTTCTGCCTTCCCAACCACGCACTGACGTATAGTATTTTTGCGGGTCAGAAAGCCTTGGGTGCAAACATGCTTTTCACCTGTGTGAGGACCAGAGGAGAATTTTTACTTGCTCTCACACATAATTTTTGTTAACAGGTGTGCGGTTTTTAATTATTTATTCATGAAATTTGGGTGTCACTAAGGCATTTATTACCCACTCTAAGTGCCCAGAGGGTAGTAGAGTCAATAACCATTCAGATAATAATCTGTCTTCCTGTTTTTGCTACCAAAGTGGACTACTATCTATCCACATTGTATTTCATTTAAGATGGCAAAAAATATTGAGTATCTTCCAACAAATGCTTCTGATACGTCTATGGAAGGAGAAATGAGCAGTCGAATCTCCTGCTTTATCATGCTTAGTGTGAAGTGCTGCCCTTCTGGCATTAGGCTAGTAACCTTTCCAGGCAAATCTAGCTCTGGAACCAGACATCTGCCTCATAAGCCACTAGATGTGAGAAGTGGTAAGAAGAAGAATGGTTTACTTACCAACATGCTGTATCATATATTAATCTTCTACATACTCCAAATGTAAATCTTCTGAAGACTTAACTAATTTTCATTTGAATGAACAGCAGTAGAAAACATTCCAGTTTTATAAAAGATTATACTACATGACCTTGTAAAAATCATGGAGTAGATACAAACACCCTCCAAATTAAACCTGTAAACTGCAATGTTAGTGTCACAAGCAAGTCTAAGTACAAAATGATTCTTTGAATACATCAGCACAACTCTTAATAGAAGCATGTGACAAACACTCTCATTTTCTATGAATCATGGACATGTTAGGATAGTACCTGGCGAGATCAGTTTCCTCAGAATGCTAGGGACTGCAATGTGCCTGTCTGATCCCTCATTATACTCTACTGTCATCTGACCATATGTCAGTTTTGAGGAAAACCACATTGATTATGTAGAAATGCTGTGCAATAAATTTTTTTCTTTTCCATTTTTCATTGACATGTAACACCATCCCTCTGCTAAAATGCAGAGACCAAGTCCAGGAAAACTGCTGGTAAATGACAGCTTTCAGCACCAATTTACGAATCTCAAATTGAAAGTGCTTGAAAATTAAAAGTTGCATTGCGAAAGTTTGTTGACATGTTGTACCACGATTTGTCTTTGTCGAAGCTGTCACCTACCTACAATGTACAACCATTGGCCCAGCATCTGGAGGGTTGCAGGCTTTTACTCGCCGCAGGAAGGCAAGGAATGGTGTTGGGTGTTCTGGAACCCCATGATCAGGCCACGCTGTGAACTGGAATTGTCGTACTTCCCTCTTTTCACTGGAGCCAATCTATGAGAACAACACAATTTTATTAACTGACCAAGAAGAACATTTATAACTTCCACCCCCACCAAAAAGAAAATAACAATAATGGATGATGTGTCCACACTGCCATACATAATAATTTTCTGGTGCCTGACATTCATGAATCAAATTACACTGCTCATGGTTTTAATGAATGAAATGTAGGTTTGCCTTCTAGTCTTAACATCTCAAATCCAATCTAAACAGAGCAAATGGAGATATTGGATCTACAGATGTCAGACTGTAGTAATGTACTGTCTTCTAATGAACTAAAATGAGTCTGTGAGCAGGGAAATATACAAAGAAAATAATTAGAAGAAAGAATTTCTGCAGTCAAAGTTCTTGCAGTGGTATGAATGTGTGTTTGAGAGAGACACCTCCTTCAAATGATTCACATCTGGCTCTGCTAGAGAAGTCCTTTGTTAGTTCTGCTATAATGGAGCAGTAACATTCCATGAGAACAGGTACATGCTGCTTTGACCGGGATTATCATAACTATCCAGAAGAAGAATGAGGATTTAACCCTCTTCTGAAGCGTAACCACGAGTGTAATTTGTCTGTAGAATTGCAGACTAGTACAGATAACTGATTTAACCTGGTGGCTTGGCAGTACAGGACATGAATGTTGTTGCAAAAAACAAACAGGCCAACAAAGTTTTTCATCTTGCACTCATCAGGACAGATGCAATTATGCCAAACTTCAATGGGAAAAATAAATGTTGTGCGAGAAAGAAGCTGACTAGTTGACAATTAGACTGTAATTGGTTAACACATTGTCATTGGGAATACATCAGGGAACATTGGTCTCTCAAACCTTTGTTTGATTGAATGAAACAATGCTGGATAATTTGCCTTTAGCTGCAGAGGACCAGGGTATGTGTAAGTAAGCCTCTGAAATTGAATATTAGTGTAATTCTTAGTGCAGTTGGGATTACTCAGTTTGTGCTGTCTAATCACAGAATCACAGTTAACATTGAACGGTGTGTTGTGTGTTCAGCAAGTGTGGGCTGATTCAGTACTACCAGTACTCACGTGAAGAACAGTGCTGTTTGAGATGATTTGAGAATTACATTCTCAACCAATTTATCATCATCAATTCGGCTCACAATGTGGCTTTATGCACTTGTCAGAAGGTACATATATTCATGAATGGGGTCTGGTCACCTACGGGAAGAATGAATTTATCCAGGCCTTCCACCTGCTTCAATCAAACCAAAGACTGGGGCACAACGTCCTCTATTGCATTCTTCATGGCAGTAAGAATCAATTTGTCAAACAAAAGCTTGGGTTCAACTGTTCTCTGGTACATACTCAAAGGCAATATTTTGACTAATCAAAGTGTGCTTGTCAATTAATTAAAACCTTTTTTGACAGTGCTGTTGCTTTTGAAATTTGACATTCTTGCATCTTTCCTGATGAGTGCCAGAAGAAAAGCTGTGACACTCTGTCTATTTTCTCAGCAGTAAATCTAGACAGTGCACTTCTTTAAAATGAATTATGGCTGTTCGTCAACTAGTCAGACTGAAACTCACTTTTGCTGGTGAACAAACTCCATCCACAGTGTCCCCGTTCAAAAGATCATGGCTGGTGTGACAGACCTCTGCACCATTTTCCTGCTGTTTCCCCATAATCCCCAATTCCTCAATCATTAAAAATCTGTGGTGGAATCATTACTGAGTTGGAAATAAACTACGTCCCTTAAACTACAAGCAAATTTTAATCCAAGACTGAAGGAAAAGTCCACCTTGACAATGGATATTTGTCCTCATACCCAATAAGGATATTACAATGGTACAATGCTTCTGTGGTCTAAAACGAGGCACCTGCAACTAATAAAGTTGCTCCATGCACACTAGTTTGTTACAGTCATGATATCCTAATCCTGGCAATGAACGCATACAGAGAGGAATGTAACCCGTGAATAATCACATGACTTCAGAAGGCTTGGGTTTGAAATTCTTTCTGTCTATAACTTAGTCATAAAAATTCAATGGGAATAAAAAAATGCGATTTAAAATCCCTCTTCTGGAATAACAACCTGCACCATTATCGGCTACCTCCCAGTTCATCCAAACACTTCAATGTGTAATTGTAACACAGTGGAGCCTGGTCTCCAAGGACAGTAATACAGAAACGAGCCATGTAATTGCATCGTAATATACAAATGAGGGAGGATGTGTTTGTGGTGCAGTGGTAGTGTCCTGCCCTCTGATGCGGGAGGCCCAGGTTCAAGGTCCACCTGCTCCAGAGCTGTGTAATAAAATCTCTGAACCGGTTAATTAGAAAATATCTTCAAACGAGGGAGGCTGGCTCATGTCACAGTGGTGGTTTCCCTACCTCTGAGCTAGGAAACCCACATTCCAGTTACAGCTGCTCCAGAGGTGTGCAGTAAAATCTCTGAACCGGTTGATCAGAAAATACCTAAACTTTGATTGGCGAGCTCTTGTGGTGCAGTGGTAGTGTCCCTATTTCTGAGCTAGGAGACCAAGGTTCAAGTCTCACTCGTTCCAGACAGCTTCTTTGAATAGGTTGATTAGAAAATATCTACAAACAAAAGAGGCCAATCAGATCGTCCAGCTCTTTCTTGTGAAGGAACCTGCAATTTCTTAGGTAACATTGAGCTCACCTCTGAAATGATGAGAATTCTTCCCACACGGGTTTCTGCATGCACCAGTGTTACAGGGTAACAGCCCTGAATGCGTCCTTTATTAATATGTACATATGCTCCCACGTCTGGCAGTTGTGACTTAATATGAAACAATAGGTGGCATGGTGGTTGTGGTTAGCACTACTGCCTCACAGCGCAATGGATCCAGGTTCAATTCCACCCTCGGGCAACTGTCTGTGTGGACTTTACACATTCACCCCATATTTGCATGGGTTTCCTCCTGACGCGCTGGTTTCTTTCCACAGTCTAAAATGTGCAGGTTAGGCGGATTAGCCATGGGAAGTGCAGGGTTACAGGGATAAGGAAGGTTATTGAGTCTGGGTGAGATGCTCTTCAGAGGGTCAGAATGGACTCGATGAGTCAAATAGCCTGATTCCACACTGCAGGGATTCTATTATGCTCAAAACTAATATTCTCTCTTCCACTTGGGATCATCTTTACCTGTATAATGGCCCTTGTCAAGGCTGAAGAGTCCATGGGGCTGGATATTACATGCCTTTGCCAGGTGCCTTTTGGGCGATGGTGTGGAGGGGCAAATCATAATCAGTTGGGTGGCCTGCCCACCACCTTCTCAGCCATCACTGAGTTGACATTCCAGCATACAGGAGGTAGGCAGACACTGAAACCAGCAGGCTGCTTGACATTTGGAAATTAGCAGTTAAGGGTCAATTGAGCTCATTAGTAGCTCGACTGTCTGCAATATTACACTGTCCACGTTTGAGGGACTTCTGTGGCATGATGGTAGTCTCCTTACTTCTGGACCCCAAGGCCATGTTCAAGGCCCACCTTCCCAAATATATGTCTTAGCATCTCTGAGCAGGTTGATTAGAAAGTATTTACACTGTCTGCATCCCAACATAGCTGGTGGAGTGGCCCTTCTGGCACAGTGGTAGTATCTCTAACTCTGGGCCAAATGTTCTGAAATCAAGGCTCACCTGCTCCACGTGTGTGTCATAACCAATCCTAACAGGCTGATTAAACATGTGTAAAACGGTTTCTTGTGGCAGGCGAGTGAGCGTGACCTATTGTTTTTAGCAAACTGTTTAAAACAGTGAGAAGGAAGCATTGAGCTATCACTGTAGCGTGGGCCTTTGCCCAAACCACAACCAAAAGCCACTACCCACCTCACTACGCCCCAGCCACACATACCCAAGCAGACAGCAACCCCTTCCCTTCCTACCAGCCTAAAGTAAGAATACCACACTTCATCCCCTTGCATCCTCCCATCCACCTCCCACCCGCTATCATATAAGAACATAAGAACTGGGAGCAGGAGTAGGCCGTCTGGCCCTTCGAGCCTGCTCCGCCATGCAATAAGATCATGGCTGATCTTTTGCGGACTCAGATCCACTTACCCACATTCTCACCGTATCCCTTAATTCCTTTATTGTTCAAAAAAATTCTACCTTATCTTTAAAAACGTTTACTGAAGTAGTGTCAACTACTTCACTGGGCAAGGAATTCCATAGATTAACAACCCTCTGGCTGAAGAAGTTCCTTCACAGTTCAGTCCTAAATCTGCTCCCTCTAATCTTGAGGCTATGCCCTCTTGTCCTAGCTTCACCTGCCAGTGGAAACATCCTCTCTACTTCTATCTTATCTATTCCCTTCATAATTTTATATGTTTCTATAAGATCCCCCCTCAATCTTCTGAATTCCAATGAATATAATCCCAATCTACTCAGTGTCTCCTCATAAGCCAACCCCCTCAACTCCGGAATCAACCTAGTGAACCTCCTTTGCACCCCCTCCAGTGCCAGGACATCCTTTCTCAAGTAAGGAGACCAAAACTGCACACTGTACTCCAGGTGTAGCCTCACCAGCACCTTGTACAGCTGCAACATAACCTCTCTGCTTTTAATCTCAATCCCTTTAGCAATGAAGGACAAAATTCCATTTGCCTTCCTAATTACTTGTTGTACCTGCAGGCCTACCTTCTGTGATTCATGCACAAGGACACCCAGGTCCCTCTGCATAGCAGCATGCTGCAACTTTTTATCATTCAAGTAATAATCCTTTTTACTATTACTCCTACCAAAATGCATGACTTCACATTTATTTACATTGTATTCCATCTGCCAGACCTTTGCCCACTCACTCAATGTACCTATGTTCCTCTGCAAAGTTTCACAGTCCTCTGCACACTTTGCTCTGCCACTCATCTTAGTGTCATCTGCAAACTTCGACACCCTACACGTGGTCTCCAACTCCAAATCATGTATATAAATTGTAAATAATTGCGGTCCCAACACCGATCCCTGAGGCACACCACTAGTTACTGACTGCCAGGTAGAACAGCACTCATTTATCCCCACTCTTTGTTTCCTGTTAGTCAACCAATCCTCTATCCATGCTAATACTTTACCCTTAATGCTATGCATCCTTATCTTATGCAGTAGCCTCTTGTGCGGCACCTTGTCGAAGGCCTTTTGGAAATCTAGGTACACCACATCCAATGGGTCCCCATTGTCCACCTTGCTCGTAATGTCTTCATAGAATTCCAAAAGATTTGTCAAGCATGACCTGCCCTTCGTGAACCCATGCTGCGTCTGCCCAACAGGACAATTTCTATCAAGATGCCTTGCTATTTCTTCCTTGATAATAGACTCAAGCATCTTCCCCACTACAGAGGTTAAGCTAACCGGTCTATAATTCCCCATCTTTTGTCTACTTCCCTTTTTAAACAGTGGCGTCACATTTGCTGTTTTCCAATCTGCTGGGACTGCCCCAGAGTCCAGCGAATTTTGGAAAATTACCGCCAATGCACCTGCTATTTCTCTCGCCATCTCTTTTAGTACCCTGGGATGCATTCCATCAGGGCCAGGAGACTTATCAATCCTTAGCTCCATTAGCTTGCCCAACACTACCTCTTCTGTGATAATGATTGTTTCCAGGTCCTCACCTACCTTCGTCTCTTTGTCAATTACTGGCATGTTATTAGTGTCCTCCACTGTGAAGACCGATACAAAATACTTGTTCAATGCCTCGGCCATTTCATCATATCCCATAACTAAATTCCCCTTCTCATCCTCTAAAAGGCCAACGTTTACTTTAGCCACTCTTTTTCGTTTTATATATTTATAGAAACTTTTGCTATCTGTCTTTATATTCTGTGCAAGTTTTTTCTCATGTTCTATCTTACTTTTCTTTATAGCTCTTTTTGTGGCTTTTAGTTGACCTTTAAAGTTTTCCCAATCTTCTAGTTTCATGCTGTTTTTGGCCACTTTGTATGCCTTCTCTTTCAATTTGATAGCCTCCCTTATTTCTTTAGACACCCATGGCAGATTACCCCTTTTCTTACAGTCCTTCCTTTTCACTGGAATATACTTTTGCTGAGCACTTTGAAAAATTGCTTTGAAAGTCCTCCACTGTTCATCAACTGTCCCACCAAAAAATCTTTGTTTCCAGTCGACTTTAGCCAAGTCCTCCCTCATTCTATTGTAGTTCCCCTTGTTCAAGCACAGGACCCTGGTATTGGATTTTATCTTCACACTCTCCATCTGTATTCTAAATTCAACCATACTGTCCTTCCAAAAGGATCCCTAACTATGAGGTCATTAATTATTCCTGTCTCATTACACAGGACCAGATCTAGGATAGCTTGCTCCCTCATCGGTTCCACTACATACTGTTCAAGAAAACTATCACGGATACACTCAACGAACTCCTCCTCAAGGCTACCCTGACCGAGCTGGTTCGACCAATCTACATGTCGATTAAAATCCCCCATGATAATTGCCGTACCATTTTTACAGGCATTAGTTATTTCTTTGTTTATTGCCCGCCCCAGTGTGATGTTATTATTTGGTGGCCTATAGACTACACCTATCAGTGACTTTTTCCTCTTAGAATTTCTAATTTCCACCCAAATGGATTCAACCTCATTCTCCATAGAACCTATATCATCTCTGAGCCCCGCCCTGATGTCGTCCTTGAATATCAGAGCTACACCACCTCCCTTACCTTCCTGTCTGTCCTTCCGAACAGTCTGGTACCCTTGGATATTTAACTCCCAGTCGTGACCATCCTGTAACCATGTCTCCGTAATGGCTACCAAATCATATTCATTCGCGATGATTTGTGCCGTTAACTCATCAACCTTGTTACGAATGCTACGAGCATTCAGGTAAAGTGCCTTTATGCTCACTTTCTTACCTCATGATTTCCAACATCTCTAATAATATCTCCTGAGTTATCCTTCCTTTTTGCTTCTTTCATAGTCTGCCTTGAACTTAAACCCTCCTGCACACATGCTAACCTGCTGCTTACCTTTTTATTTACCATCATACTCCCTGTCGTTTTCCCTTTCCCTTCCCCCCAACTCACTAGTTTAAAGTCCTAGTGACCACTCTATTTATCCTTTTCGCTAGAACACTGGTTCCAGATCGGTTCAGGTGGAGACCGTCCCATTGGTACAGATCCCTCTGGTTCCAAAACTGATGCCAATGCCCCATAAAATGGAAATTCTCTTTCCTACACTACTCCCTTAGCCACGTGTTTAATTCCCTAATTTTCTTATCCCTAAGCCAAATTGCACATGGCTCGGGCAGTAATCCGGAGATTATGACCCTCGAGGACCTGTTCCTTAATTTCGTTCCTAGTGCTTGATAATCCCCAAACAGGTCCTCCATCCTAGCCTTGCCTAAGTTGTTAGTCCCAACGTGGACCACAACAACTGGATCCTCCCCCTCCTGCTCCAATATCCTTTCAAGCTGGTCAGAGATGTCCTGCACCCTGGCACCGGGCAGGCAACACACCATGCGGGACTCCTGATCCGGCTTGCAAAGGATACTATCTATCCCCCTAACTATAGAATCCCCTATAACTACCACTTGTCTTCTTGCTCCCCCCTCTTGAATGGCCTTCTGCACCATGGTGCCGTGGTGAGCTGGCTCATCCTCCGCGCAGCCCTTTTCCTCATCCACACAGGGAGCAAGTATCTCGTACCTGTTGGATAAGGTCAAAAGCTGAGGCTCCTCCACTCCTGAACTCAGGATCCCCCTACCTGCCTCACTTGCAGTCACACCCTGTTGTCCCTGATCACTAACTGAATTTGAATTACTTAATCTACCATGTGTGACTGCCTCCTGAAACAAAGCGTCCAGGTAACTCTCCCCCTCCCGGATGTGCCGCAGTGTTTGAAGCTCAGATTCCAGATCTTCAACTCTGAGCCGGAGTTCTTCCAGCAACCAACACTTGCTACAGGTGTGGTCACTGCCATTCACAATGGGATCAGCCAGCTCCCACATCATACAGCTACAGCACATCACCTGCCCAGCCATCTCTACTTAGTTAATTACTTTATTACTTTATCTCAATTTATGAGTTAAATACTTTCTAATACTTCTCTGCTATGGTCTTTTCAAATAACCAATTAATAGATAAATAAAAAAAAGTAAATTTTTAACCAATTACACGATACAGAAGAAATAGAAAAAGTATAAAAACCTAACCTTACCAACACACCACAGAGTCCTTTTTTTTTGGTTAGAGGAGGAGGGCGGGTGGGAGACACTACACGTTTAGTGTCTCGGGTTCAGCCGCTGCCCAAATATACTCCCGGCAGCCCCCTGGTCCTCGCTGTCGCCTCTCCCTCTGCTGCTGAAAAATGAAGGCCACTGACGCTCGAGGTAAGCCCTTTAAGAGGGAAAACTTACCTTCCCGGCAGCCCCCTGGTCCTTGCTGTCGCCTCTCCCTCTGCTGCTGAAAAATGAAGACCGCTGACGCTTTAGGTAAGCCTTTTAAGAGGGAAAACTTACCTTCCCGGCAGCCCCCGGTCCTCTGCCTTGGCCCTTGGCCTCTGCCCAAATTCCACCCGGGCCTACCTGGATCAGGCAAGACCCCTGCGGTCTCCTGCAAAGCCTGCCTGCTGTTCTGGTAGAGTTGCTATAGATCAGATGGAACGTCAGCTTTCCAGGGGATGTCATTCCCCCAGTGAGAGATGCAAGGAGGCTCATTTGCTCACCCACAGTGTTTTACCACTGCAGGATAGACTTGTCCCAAGCATGTCAGCAACGTTCCAACTTTTCATCTGGGAGTCTCATCCCCTAAGTTTCTACCAGCTAGTTTTGGGATTCAGTACTGCCCCGCAATGTCTCATTAGATGTTATGCTGATTTTAGTTTTCAGTGAAAGAAAATAGGAGTATTTTAGGGAGCAGCTGGATTTCTTCATTAGATTAGTAATATGATGGAATATAAGTGCTACAATTGTAAAGGAGATTCATAATTATTGAACAAAAAGCCATTAACTTAAAGCAAAATAAAAAAAATACATACCTTGTCTAATGTTAACGTTCTAACACAGTAAGTTGCCAGTTCAACAGTATCCTGTAGAGTAACTTGGATTAATCCAAACGTTTCGGTTCCTCGTGAAGGCCAATACTGGTCACATTTTACCTGTAAATGTAAGTACATTACTGTGTAGAGGGATACTTCAAGATAATAAGCAACGCTCATAAATGGTTTGTTTAAACTACATTTTTCCTATTTTATTGCTGTGATTGGTTAATAAATTTGAAGCCAAGATGATGAATATACTGTCTTTATGACAGAGTCAATCATGTGTTTTTAGTACACTAGAATCTGGTCAGCAGTGAGTGTTTCCAATTGTAGATGGATTCGTTAAAAGTCATAGGCTTTCCCATCTGATTGACATTTGGAGGCTCTGAATGTATGATTAGAAAAGTGCCTATCTTGGTTTAGAAGTACAAATGTTAAACTCTGCTGAAGGCAAAGGGTCCTTGGGCCCTCAAGTTATAGCATATGGGATGTATACTGAAGTACAAGTCTTGGCAATATTTTCACCTTGTCAGTGATAGCTGACCTTGATGTCATTATGCAGGGGTAGCATCTTACACTTTGTGTTCATTCTTCCAAAAATCAAAATGGCACCAATACTGGATTGATCCCTAAGATGGCAGGACTGGCATTTGAAGACAGATTGGATTGGTTAGGACTATATTCAATGGAGCTTAGAAGAACGATAAAATGCAAAAGAGGGCTAGACAGGGTAAATGCAGGAAGGATGCTCATGATGAAGAGTCCAGAACCAGGGGTCATAGTCTAAGGATACAGGCTGGGCCATTTGGGACTGTGATGAAGACAAATTTCTTAACCCAGAGGCTGGTGAGCCTATGGAATTTTCTGCCACAGAAAGCAGCTGAGGCCAAAACACTTATTGTTTTGAAGAAGGATGAAAAGATACAGTTCTTAGGGCTAAAGGGATCAAAGTATCTGGGGAGAAAGTGGGAACAGGGTCCTGAGTTGGATGGTCAGCCATGATCATGCTGAATGGTAGAGCAGGTTCAAAGGCCGAATGGCCTACTCATGTCCCTACATTCTCAATTTCTAAATGATCCAGCGATGCATCCAACACTATGAGTGCTTCTCTATCAAACACAGTGTAATTCTAAAATAAAATTAGAAATTTCTTGGAAAACTCAGCAGATCTGGCAGCATCTTTGGAGAGAAAGCAGTGTTAACGTTTTTGGTCCACTCTGAGTTCTGAAGAAGTGTCATGGAACAGAAATGTTCATGCTGCTTTCTCTCCACCGAAGCTGCCAGACCTGCTGAGTTTTTCCAGCAATTTCTGATTTTGTTTTTGATTTCCAGCATCCACCGTTGTTCGGTTTTTTTTGTATTTTATAATTCTACGTAACTTGTGTATTAGACAGTTCACCCTCTGAACTATAATGATGCAGAATAGTCTAAAGGTGCATGTTAAAGTCAGCAGCATTAATCCAAGAGAGCTGAGCGACTTCAGGAACCCTATGCTGGCAAGTTTCTATCTGCTTGAACAAGGAATCCTCAAGTTAATAAGCACTAAACAGCTCAATCACACACACACCGGACGATAAAATGACAAAAATGCACAGGCGTAGCTCTTTCCCACAAAATGTTAAGTGAGTCAGTATTATCATTATATGACAAGAATTACAGGTTTTGCTAGAGGGCTATGGTTGTGGAATTCAAATATAAAAGTTTGTTTTTAAAAAATATCTTTTTAATGCCACTAAAGATGTTTAAAAAAGTAAAATGTAATGTGTTAATCATCAGCTTCCTGTAACAGGAAAGATTTCAGGCAATAGCACAAACAAACATTGAGGGTCAGCATGTTCTAAGCATGAAGTGGGCAATAATTTATGTCACATTCTTTGTTTTTTTTTCTTTGCAATTATGCACAACATTCCAATTTGACATCACCAACTCAATTCTAACAATAGGGGCATTTAATGCATTCTATCTGCGCAATATCCGATCAGTAACCCTTTGAGAACCTCTGCCCTGCGATGAAGACAAAAACATACTGTCACCTTTTCTAAACTCTTCACCTTACACTTAACCCAGCTGTTTCCTTAATACTGTGTATTATGTGCATCAATCTAAGCTAGAACAAGATATAATTATTTTAAAAATTGAACTAAAGGCAAATTATTGTTTCATTTTAAAGGAATTTCACAGATTGATTTATTGTTGATGGGTAGTTACCCTTTTCCAAATGTTGTTGCAGTTTTTTGTTAGGAGCTCATAAATTGTGACCCACATCTGTCATCAAATGAAGCATCTCCTCATATTAAGGGAAATATGTCAAGGTAAAGAATTTAGGGTTACAATAGAACAGAAAACATCACGTGCCTACCATTTGCATAATGATAATTTATGAAATTTGTACAAGCTGGAGTTATATATTTCAATGTCACTTTTTTAAAAGAGAGGCAGGTCAAGATATCAGCGAATATGTCCTGCCCTTCATTGTGAAAAAAAGGCCTTTGCTATAGCTCCCTGTAAAAAAGTAGTGAATTGTCCAAGTCCATGAGCTTTCTTTGGTCACGCCTGATGTGCTGACTAATGGACAGTAAGCATCCATCTGTCACGATAGGTCAGTCAGCCTTGTGATCCCTATCTCTAAACTGGAATTCTAAAATCAAAAGTCTTCCACACTGTGACATTTAGGAGGACCAATGTAACTCATCCAAATAGCAGATAAATTGGAGTAAGAGGGCTTGTCCTATAGATTGGAAAAGAGCAATGCCAACTCATTCAATCTTATCTGGTCACTTTGCAGCCATGTTACAAATACAACTTGACTTCCACTCATAAATAACCACTAGGAAATCACAAAGGACAGTGTGTTCAGGGTTAATGCGACCCAGGGACCTGTGCAGAACATACAATTGCATACTATTTCAATCCACATAATCATCCAACGCACTTACACCTGCCTCCACCACATTTCCAGGCTGCATATTCTAACTACTCACTGAGTGAAAGAGTTTTATTTTTCCTCACAATACCTTTGCTTTATTTGCAAATCAATTACAATTTATGCCCTCTCATTCTGTTCATTTTATGAGCAGGAACAGTAGCATCTGGTCTGTGTGAAATCTAAGTTACCAAAAAGGTTACCTTTCCCCAGAGACTGTTCAAACTTAACCCAACTGCAGAAATTACCCAAACGTCAGAGAACTGCAGGAACAGCCAGAAGAAATAAATGACCAATGAATCTATTAAAACATAGTTATTCCTTGGTGAATGTCCATTCATCCTGCTTAACATGTATTCAACTGAAGGAATTAAGCGAGGCCCATAACTGGGCTATGAAACTCTAAAATTGCAACATTGCATCTAAACTGCTGCCAGGCATCAAAGAACCCCTACAGTGCAGACAGAGGTCATTTGGCTCATCAAGTCCGCTCTGGCCCTCCAAAAAGCATCCCATCCAGAACCAACCCCTGACCCTCTCCCCATCACCCCACATTTACTATGGCTAACCCACCTAGCTTGTGCATCCCTAGACACTACGGGGCAATTTAGCATGGCCAATTTACCTTGTATCTTTGGACTGTTGGAAGAAACTGGAACACCCAACAGAAACCCATGCAGATACGGACAGCATGTGCAAAATCCACACAGACAGCCACACAAGGCTGGAATTAAACCCAAGTTCCTGGTGCTTTGAGGCAGCAGGGTTAACCAATGTGCCACCATGCTGTCTCATGCATTGGATCATGACCCAATACTTCTGGCTAATGTTAGCAATGCATACCCCACCACCTTTACGACGATGGCATCCAGACATGATGTCAGAAGTGAATGTGTACGTCGGGAATACCATTCATAGAGTCACACAGCACAGAAACAGACCCTTTGGCACAACTCGTCCACGCCGACATAAACTGAATTAATCCCATCTTCCTGTGTTTGGCCCCTATCCCTCTAACGTTTCCTATCCATGTACCTGTTCAAATGTTTTTTTTAAATGTCATAACTGTACCCGCCTCTACCACTTCCTCTGGTAGCTCGTTCCATACACACATCATTTTCTGTGTGAAAATGTTGCCCCACCAGTCCCTTTTATATCTTTCCTCTCTCACCTTAAATCTATGCCATCCAGTTTTGGACTCCCCTACCCTGGGGAAAAGACTTTGGCTATTCCCCTTATCTATGCCCCTCATAATTTTATAAACCCTTACAAGGTCACTGCTCAGTCTCGTACATTCCAAGTAAAAAAGTTCCAGCCTATCCAGCCTCACCTTATAAACCAAACCCTCCAGCCTAGGTAACATGCTTCTAAATCCTTTTTTGCACCTTTTCCAGTTTATTAACATCATTCCCATATCAGAGCGACAAGAACTGTACGCAGTACTCCAAATGTGGCCTTATCAATGTCATTTACAGCCATAACATGATGTCTCGCCTCCTGTACTCAGTGCTCTGCCCGATGAAGGGAAGCATGCCAAATGCCTTCTTCATCACCCTGACAACCTGTGACATCACTTTAAAAGAACTATGCATCCGCACCTCTAGATCTCTCTGTTCAACAACACTTCTCAGGGTCTGAGCATTAACTGTGTAAGTCTTGCCCTGGTCTGTCTTCACAAAATGGCAAAACCTCGCATTTATCTGTATTAAACTCCATCTGCCATTCCTCCACCAATTAGCCCAGTTGATCAACATCCCGTTGTACTCTTTGATAACTTTCTTCACTGTCCACGATACCAGCAAATTTGGTCATTCACAAACTTACTAACCATGCCCGCTATATTCTCTTCTAAATCGTTTATATAAATGACGAACAACAGTGGACCCAGCACTGATCCGTGGCACAATGATGGTCACAATCCTCCAGTCTGAATGACAACCCTCTACCACCACCCTTTATCTCCTACCGTCTAGCCAATTTTGCATCCAATTGGCTAGCTCTCCTTGGATCCCATGTAATCTAACCTTACTAACCAGTCTACCACGCAGAACTTGGTCGAAGGCTTTGCTAAAGACCCTGCAGATAATGTCTACCGCTCTGTCTTCATCTATCTTTTTGGTCACCTCTTAAAAATATCAATTAAATTTGTGAGACATGATTTCCTATGCACAAAGCCATGTTGACTATCCTTAATCAGTCCTTGCCTTTCCAAATGCATGTAAATCCTGTTTCTTAGAATCCCCTCCAGCAACTTACCCACAACTGATATTAGGCTTACCGGTCTGTTGTTCCCTTTCTTTTCCTTGCAGCCTTTCTTAAATAGAGGCGCAGCATTCACCACCCTTTTGTCTTCCAGCACCTCACCCATTGCTGTCAATGATACAATGTCTCATAGCACCCAAATAAATGAAGCAGATGGTACTAAGTCTAATTTTGGCCCTGACATATGATTGTGGAAACATTTTTGGAACCTGACTCAGAAATCTGCTCTCTCATTCAATGCCTCAAATTAAATAGAGGGAAAAAAAATAAAGAAAAGCAATATTTTGAAATGAATCTACAGCGCTTCCATTTTTTTCAAACCAGTATGTCTCAACTGTCAGTGGTGGTAGAGAAGCGGTAGATAGGAGTTGCAGTTTACTTCAGTTCCAGTATCCATAAGTCTAAGCAATTTATATATTTAGGACATCCTTTTTAAAGAGTGTTGGGATGATTTAGTCCACAGATCTAAGTGCACTATCTTTGGCTGGACATGTTACTCTGGAATTTTTGGAATGATAAAATCTCAATCACCCAAAGGTTGGCCCTCAGTGAAGCTACTTGGCTAGGGACATCACACATCTGCCTGTCCTTTACTTTAAAAGTTGTAATTGCTGGAGTGAATTCAATCCTCTCTTTAAACCAAAAATAAAAACACAGAAAACAGGAGTAGGAGTCGGCGAATTGACCCCCTGCTCCACCATTCAGTACAAGTATGTCTAACCATCCAATGCAGTATCCTGTTCCTGCTTTCTCCCCATATTCTCTGATCCCTTTAGCCCCAAGAACTATATCTAAATCCTTTGTGAAAACATTCAATGTTTTGGCCACAATTGCTTCCTGTGGCAAAAAGATAGTCAGGGAAGGGTGAGAGGTGGCTGTGTTCTTCTGTTGCAATTTTCAATTACCCTCCTTTAGTTTAATTAAGTTATGCAATAGAATGAATGGAATGGCTTCTCCACAGGTGGCAGAGTCTCTGAGGGTAAAGGAGTGTACATGGCATGCAAGAATTATTGGTTTGAATTTTACATTTGCAAATCAGGAATGGGTTGACGCATATGTAAAATCTAGCATGATAATGTTGCCGATGAATCAACATGCAAGTTTCACAAAATACAGTGTGTTGATGGCCTCCAAAAATTGACATTTAAAAAAAATTGGCCATTTAAAAAAAAAATCATTAATGGGCAATTGAACTTGGCCAGCTGACCTGAACATCATGCTGCCCTCACCATAATATGTTTGGTGTGGGCAGAAAGGTGAGAGAGGGGAGCCTGCTGTATTAACACACGAGTGAGAAGGAACAAGAGTGAGGCTTTGACATCAAAGCCCCCACCCAATGCCAAGACGATAGTTTGCCTTTGAAACTACCAGCCTAGCCTCCAAACACTGCCCCATTCTTGAAAGTGTTTGATCCCTTTCTGTTCAGAAGCGTTGTGAGTGATTTGAGCCGAATACCATCAATGCTCTTTGTAGCTTTACTGTTAGTCCTGGCAATCCTGCTACCAAGTGGTGAGATTATCAGAGCCACTGACTGGCAGTTGTCAAGGATTGGACTTTTACTCTCTCTGAGGGGTTAAAAGTCCCACTCTCTGCTCCATCAGGTCTCCCAGAGCATGTTTTCATTAGTGAGCAGTCTTTTTGTATTTCACATGGTTTGCAACTTAATTTTTCTAACAGAGGGGTTGGTTGGGAAGGCTGTGGGGTGGGAGTAGCAAGATGCACATTTGCTGCCTCATAAGATTCACCCCTCTGTCTGATAATACTAACATCAAAACAATGCTAGTTTATTTGATTTGCATTTGGATTAAGAAGCTGAGCAGCTTTTACAGAAGCAGCCTGGTTGTTTCGCAATCTGTACGTCCATACCACTGTAATAAAAATTTGTGGCACAGGAGGAAAGCAGACATATCAACACTTGGAATGCTGCCTAGCCTACTGCAGCTCCTCAACTGACAGTTGTGTGAATAATTAACATAGTCTTACTCATAGGAAAGGAATAAAGCTGAAAACTATAAATTGTTGCACTCCTGAAATACGTTGAAACACTGCACAATATTAAAACTAAAAGAGAGATGCTAATTCAGTTCTCAAACAGCTAGTAAAGTCAGGTGAAAAAAAGAGAATGAAGCATACAGAAGTCAGGGTTGCAAAGTATCTCACCTTGGACAAGAAACACTTAGCAGAGACACAATCATGGACAGTGAGGAGGGGACGGAGAAAAATAATTATTTTGAGGAAATGACGTTGGATATATTGAAAAGAAGCTCAACAGACAGTGAAAATCAGCTCAGAGATGTTGGGCATGTGGAGAGAGATATCAAAACAGAGACTGGGTTCAGGCACAAGAGTTACATAGACTCAGTATAGAGCCTTAGGAAATATTATTTCTCCACCCATTCCTGCAATGAACATTTGACACCATCCGGGAAAAGACTCTCTTAGCTCTCCATAAAATAGTATCAAAAACAGGTTTCAATGATCACTGTTATTCACATCAAAAACCAATGCATCTCTATTTAAGACTGCTGGTTTACATTTAGATTAAATTAAATTAGAAAGTGTTCTGGCTAATCCAAACAGCCGATCCTAAATACATCGAATATTATTACTTGTGTTAGTGCTGAGATAGACATGATTTACAATGCAGCCTGGTACTTGGGCAAATGATAAGACAATAATATCTCAAATGTACATGGATAAAACTAATATGATATGTATGTTCAACAATAATGTCATTTTCCACGTAATATTAATAGCATGTTTGTCATTAATTCTCTTAATGTGTGACATCAAGTATTAAATATTTACCCTCGATCTTTCTTCTAGTTTAGTCATCATCACAACAATTGCACTTCGCTGCTCCCATATCATCCTCCAAAAATCTCCAAATGTCTCAGGCAGAGGACCCTGTGTTGCAATGTAGGCATTCTGTTTTCTATAGCCGTCAATATAATTGGAATTGGAGTAATCACTTCCTGGTATGCCTACAAAGGAAGCAAAGAATAGATGTAATAAGTCATAAAATTTCAGCAAAAAACACATTTTGTTTAATTTGGCTCCTGGAGTCAATATTGCCACAAGAAAATAGAACATTCAAAAGACAATAGCTCTCGTTAAACTAATGTGTTTATAATGTAAGTGAGCATGTGAAAATTCAGCAGCCTATCTTTCAAAATATTAAATATTTAAAACCTGTGGAGTCTTTTTAAATGTTTTCTTAATCTGAAGGAAAGATAGATGGAGTGACATAAACTCTACCCAACAGACCTATATTATACTTCAACAATCTGTAGCACCTGCAAAAACGCACATTCTCAGTGGGAATCATTTGCTAAATAGTACACAAAGGGTATCACTCTCTGATATACCCAATTTATTAGATAAGTGACTGTTCTGTTTCTGCAAAGGAAGCACTAATGCATTATCTCCCTCTGCAGTATTTCCCATTCACCCTTACAATGATGGGTGCTCATTTTTAGTTGAAAGTACTTCCAAAGTTCTTCATTCCCATCCGAGCACTATACTTTCAGCGTAGCTTAGAGGTAGTTGTTCAGCCTGCTCCCACTTTGCATCAACACTCCTTGTTGTCAGTCAGCAGAAACTGTAGCTTTCAACCCAACAAGACTCTTCCCTCCTGCTTTATCCTCTCTCACACAGGTAATTGTTGCAGTGTCTGTCTTTTTGGATGAAGGTCAAATTTGACCAGGGACTGAAACAACAATCAAATGCTGCCTATACTATCAAGTACTGACGCTTCACCACAAAGAGTGATCAGTTATTATTTTCAAAAATGCATGAACCTAGTCATGCTGTAAGCAAAAGTCTCATTTTGCTTTAGTCACTGCTTGAAAGTGTGTACCATTAGCAGCACAGGCCGCATGTAAATTATGCCAAGAGTCAATGTGACGCAAATTTTTTTGGGTGGGGGGGCTGTAAGGAAAATGAATTTCCTCAAACCCTTTCAAATGTGTGGTCGGCTTTACCTCACCCTGGACAAGAAATGAGCCAACACATATTTCTATCGAAACTGCAGATTTGGGTAATCTAAAACAAACCTTTGTGATAAGACTTCTTTTTTTAAACAGCTGTCTGATCCATTATGAGAGATTCTTGGCTAAAAGGAGAAAGATCGTATGGCAAGACAAAAAAATTGACCTGTCTCATTCTCAATTGGCTTTGCTTCTTTGCATCAACTCCCTTGCTGGCAGCGAGTTTGTGCAAAGGCAGCCAAAGTCTGTTTTATTTGGCACAAAAAGAACTTTTGCTGCTGTACCAAGCTACAGATGCTGCCCATGTTTTCTGCAGATAAGCCCCATCCACATCGAGATGCATTACTTTGAGTATCGTGACAGGAATAGATAAATCAAACAGCATATATTTTTCTATGCTTTTTAATCATCAGGCACATTTTTGAAAGCCAATTTCATAGATTCAATCACTGAAATTGTCCAGCAAATGGGAGTTATGGAATACATTACAGGAGGGATTGCAGGTTGTCAAGATTTTACGCATGGTTGAAGTTCTCATATTGTAAGCCTGCGTATGATTTTAACATTGGCATTAACTGGTTTGAAATAAAAGACTCGACGCCTTCCCTTTGCAAAATTCTCACAGGCATTAAAACCAACGTGCGAACCAGTCTTATAAGTTACATGCAGGGAAGAGATACCATGTGTGACAATTTGCTCTTGACTTGATAGAGCTCAGTCCAAAGTGAGTGCCATGCCAGAGTTTCCAAACAGCATGATGACAATTGCCACCTCAAAGTGTGCAGGAAGCGACCAGCTCTTTTTAAATCAGGAATTAGTCAAGATAAAAACCCTCTTTATTGTAATCAGCCTCTTAAAAATGTTGACAAGAACCTGAAAGGTGGCAGAAGACTAGGCAAAACTACATGTCGTCATTGTCTTCAGGAATAGTGCCAGAAGACTGGAGACTAGCAAATGTTGTCCCCTTGTTCAAGAAGGGGAGTAGAGACAACCCTGGTAATTATAGACCAGTGAGCCTTACTTCGGTTGTGGGTAAAGTGTTGGAAAGGATTATAAGAGATAGGATTTATAATCATCTAGAAAGGAATAATTTGATTAGGGATAGTCAACACGGTTTTGTAAAGGGTAGGTCGTGCCTCACAAACCTTATTGAGTTCTTCGAGAAGGTGACCAAACAGGTGGATGAGGGTAAAGCAGTTGATGTGGTGTATTTGGATTTCAGTAAAGCGTTTGATAAGGTTCCCCATGGTAGGCTATTGCAGAAAATACGGAGGCATGGGATTGAGGGTGATTTAGCAGTTTGGATCAGAAATTGGCTAGCTGTAAGAAGACAGAGGGTGGTGGTTGATGGGAAATGTTCATCCTGGAGTTCAGTTACTAGTGGTGTACCTCAAGGATCTGTTTTGGGGCCACTGCTGTTTGTCATTTTTATAAATGACCTGGATGAGGGCGTAGAAGGATGGGTTAGTAAATTTGCGGATGACACCAAAGTCGGTGGAGTTGTGGATAGTGCGGAAGGATGTTGCAGGTTACAGAGGGACATAGATAAGCTGCAGAGCTGGGCTGAGACGTGGCAAATGGAGTTTAATGCGGAAAAGTGTGAGGTGATTCACTTTGGAAGGAGTAACAGGAATACAGAGTACTGGGCTAATGGTAAGATTCTTGGTAGTGTGGATGAGCAGAAAGATCTCGGTGTCCATGTGCATAGATCACTGAAAGTTGCCACCCAGGTTGATAGCGTTGTTAAGAAGGCGTACAGTATGTTAGGTTTTATTGGTAGAGGGATTGAGTTTCGGAGCCATGAGGTCATGTTGCAGCTGTACAAAACTCTGGTGCGGCCGCACTTGGAGTATTGCGTACAGTTCTGGTCACCGCATTATAGGAAGGATGTGGAAGCATTGGAAAGGGTGCAGAGGAGATTTACCAGGATGTTGCCTGGTATGGAGGGAAGGTCTTATGAGGAAAGGCTGAGGGTTTTGAGGCTGTTTTCGTTAGAGAGAAGAAGGTTAAGAGGTGACTTGATAGAGACATACAAGATGATCAGAGGATTAGATAGGGTGGACAGTGGGAGCCTTTTTCCTCGGATGGTGATGGCTAGCACGAGGGGACATAGGTTTAAATTGAGGGGTGATAGATATAGGACAGATGTCAGAGGTAGGTTCTTTACTCAGAGAGTAGTAAGGGCGTGGAATGCCCTGCCTGCAAAAATAGTAGACTCGCCCACTTTAAGGGCGTTTAAATGGTCATTGGATAAACATATGGATGATAATGGAATAGTTTAGGTTAGATGGGCTTCAGATTGGTTTCACAGGTCGGCGCAACATTGAGGGCCAAAGGGCCTGTACTGCGCTGTAATGTTCTATGTTCTATGTAGAAGTGTTGCCCTGGGATTTCCAAAAGGTCATTTGATTAAAGTGCCACATCAAAGGTTACTTCACAAAATAGGAGCCCATGGTATACTGGGTAACACATTAACACAGTAAAAGGAGTGATCAACTCCTGGAAGCAAAGTGTGGGGACAAATGGGTCTTTTTCAAGTTGACGCTCTGTCATGAGTGGACTGCCACAGGAATCAGTGTTTGGGGTCCCAACTATTTACAATCTATATCAATACATTGGATGGGGGCGTGGCGGGATGAGAACATGTGCTTGCTAAATTTGCGGATGACTCTTAAGATAATTTGGTAAATAGGTTGTGAAGATGACATAAGGAGTCTGCAATAGGGTGTGGACAGGATAAGTGTGTGGGAAAAAAATAAATGTAAGATAGACCATAATTTGGGAAGATGTGAACTTTTACACTTTGGCAGAAAGAAAATGAAAACAGCATACCATTTAATTGGAGAGCATTTGCAGAACTCAGTGTTACAGAAGAATCGAGGTGTCCTGGTACACGAATCACATATTATTAGTCTATAGGTACAGCAACGGATGAGAAAGGCAAATGGGATGATGCAAGAGGACTGGAGTATAAAAGTAGGGAACTTTTGTTTCCATTGTGCAGGACATGGCACAGTGTATTACAGGAAATACTACAATTCGGGGATACAGCTTCAAAATTTAGGGTCTCCAAGTTAAGACTGAGGTAAAGAAAAGGTCTTTCTGTCAGAGGGTCATTCATATGTTGAATTCTCTTCCCCATAGAGCAGTGAAGGTAAGTTTGATGAACAGTTTTAAAGCAGAGGTAGACTGATTCTCGAATAACAAAGGAGTCAGGAATTATAGAGGGCAGGCAGCAAAGAAGAAGTGAGACCAGAAGCTGATTTATGTCAATATCAAATTTATGTCAAAAGTAGTCCAAGATGTCATCCTGAAGAAAAATAATTTGGAAAGAAAGATTTGGGTAAATTCATACAAAAAAACAAACACGCTGAAAACATGCAATTTCAAATAAACCTGTTGGACTGAAACCAGGTGTTGTGTGACTTCTGACTTTGTCCGCCCGTGTTCAACACCGGCACCTCCGCATCACGATTATAACACTAAGCAATTTAAATCAAAATAATTGCTAAGGATGGCCTGTTTGATGCCAGACTCTTTCCTCCACAAAACGAGACTGATGTGCATCAGACTTTGATTTTGGTCATACGAATCCGTGCTAGCTCATCACAGCACTCTTGCCATGAAACCTCAAGATTGTGGGTTCAAGTTCCATTCCACAGGAGTCATAGGCAAACAACACAGAAACAGACTCTTCGGTCCAACTTGACCACGCCAATGAAGTTTCCTAAACTAAATCGGATCCATTTGCCTGCAATTGGCCCATAATCCCTCTAAACCTTTCCTGTTCATGTACCAGTCCAAACGTCATTTAAATGTTGTAACTGTATCTGCATGTAACACTTCCTCTAGCATTTTATATATATCAGAATTACCCCCTGTGTCAAAAAGTTGCCTTGAGACCCTTTTAAATCTTACTCCTCTACCCTTAAAAATATGCCCCCTTGGTTTGAACTAACCCACCCCAGGGAAAAGACCTTTGCCATTTACCCTCT